CTTAACTTACTCCGGAAAGCCTTTTTGGACAAAATTTGTCTGTATTATTCCTACTTCTACTCCCGAGGTATTTCCTCGTTTACGGAAAGTGCCGACGGTTTCCGATAACATCATAATCCCGGAGTAACCTTACGTCACCTGAATGTTTGCCTCTTATGATGATCTTCCGTTATGCCCGGCATGTCATTATGACACTGACTCGATTGCACTTTGTACATGTTTGTTTATATATCACGTACTCAGTCCGGCTGATATTATGGACATGCAAAGAAGTGCAGAATGAGCAATCGATATTTCAATTAGGGCACAACATTAAAGTGCCTTTTAGGCATTATCACTTTACAAAATTGGAAAATTGTAATCCAAAATGACACTAAACATCTCTTTCAACATAGACGTCAGCTTATTACGTCATAACCACAGTTCATCATTGACGGGTGATGATCCAGTTTATCAACAATGGCGGCCAAATCAATCACACGAATAGGAAGATAGAACTCAACGGCTACTTCAGATCTAATTTTTAAGCTAAAACCTTTGGTAAGTGCGTATATGTTTATCTAAAAAAATACCACGTGTAAGATACAAAAGGTCATGACATCATTCCTTATAAGATACAAAGAGTATTGACATCTCTGTACACGAAACAAAATGTCATGACAGTGTCCGATATCAGAAAGTGGAACTGACATCCTTGTGTAAGAAACAAAAGGGTTATGGCATTGTTTTACAAGAAAGAAAGAGGGAAGGATATTCTTCTATCAGATACAAAAAGGGCAATTGCATCCCTTTTTAGGTACACAAGGGTCATGACATCGTTCTATCATGTACAAAAAGGTGGTAATGACATTGCATTATAAGATACACAAGTATCGTTTTATATAATTGCCCAAAAGTTGTTCTTTGTGTTCCATCGCAAAGTTTCTCAATTCTGGTTGTCTGTATATTTGACACTAGAGTCTATACTAGTTGATTTTATGATTCTCATGAAATGTTTCCCCACCATGTCTGTGTGGGAACGTCTAGATGACCGGGACTTCATATCGATCCCAGACCACGGAGCGTGCAGTGCTATAGTTACACCGGACATAATCCGGAAACCTAATATTTGAATTCTAATATTCATAATATATATATATGTATATATGGACAGTGTCCGTGGTCTTGCCTTGGGGTCAATACTGACCAAACTCATGGTTAGTTTGATGCGCTGTTCATTTGTAATGTATGAATAGCAACGATTTGATACTTTGTCTATATTATTTTTAATTTACTGATTAATAAATACCCAGCTCCGGTGTCAAGAGTGTTTTAGGAAGGATATTTCTTGACAAATATTTTCTATAGGAAAGTACATGTATTACTCGTAGTTTTAACGTTAAAATTTCCTCTTAAAAAAATAACAAGGAAAATATCCTTAACACTTCCCCTTAAATTTATTAAGGAAAATGTCGCTACCTTAAGATTTCTCCTTAACTTTATTAAAGAAAATGTTGGATTTTAATTTTAAGAAAACTCCTTCACTATTTCATTATTGTTTTTTATAACTGATCCACAAGGTACTGGTTTCTTTTAGAAATGAATTAATAAACTTTTTTTGCCGGAAAATAGTTCTCGATTGATGGACTGGACTTCAGACACCTGATCATGACTGAGATATTCGCAGAGTTAAAAAAAAACCATAAACTCCCTCGGGTGTAATCCTATTTTAACACAGCTGTTGATTAAATAAGTTGGTTGTATAATTTATTATGACCAAAGCACGAGAAAACTTATGCATTGATACCAACCAGGAAATTCTAAATTATACGATAAAAAAAGCAGAAAAAAACTTGAAACGAGATCACTTATGTAAGTAAGGTAACACATACACCCTTAAGCTACTGGCATTATTTAAGGTACCATACACCCTTAAGTTCCTGGCAATATTTAAGGAAGCATACATCCTTAAGGGGAAACTGTTGCAACCTCTGACGCTTCCATTGTCCTATGAGACATATCTGTCTCACAACTGTCGCCCTTGTTTATTTTTTTCATCGATTTTAATATTAGTATATACGTCATGCCCTTTAAATTAAACAAAAACCGTTAATTAGAATCCCATTTGTTAAACACTCTATATTTACTGAAACAAACAGTCTGTAATCGATTTTCTCATTCATTTAAAAATGTGGTCGATTTCATTACAATTATGATAATAAAAAAGACGAGAGTCCTATTTCTAAATGATCACAAATGTCCTCTTTATTGGATAAGGACCCAGCCTAGTGACGAGGTATAAATAACGGAGACTCAAATATCTCTATTCCTTAGATATTGATTTTTTCTATATTACAGATATATTGTTTTAGCAACGGTGATAGTACGGGAGATTGAGGCAAATTCGGCCCCGGGGTAAGTCCGACCGACCCTAATATTTTTGTTCTTGTGCAAATATTTACAACTTAGGGGATTTTGGCAGTTTAGTTGACAGGGTGGGACGAAAAAATAGCGAGGAAAAATCAAATATAAGATTGCTTGAAGGGAGAAAGTTACTCTGGGAGGGTAGAGAGAAAATCATGACCTTATTTCTTTCTAGTTTTGCGAACTTTCTGTATTTCTTATTTCTACTTATTTATATCACACGTGAAACACAAAGTACGTAAGATAAAGCGCCCTTCTTTCCCGTTTTGATCGTGAATATCCGGATTATGATGGTATACACCACAGCCCCGCTCAAACATATATAGTCCAGGACGCGCGTTAGCGCATCTTGAAAAAAGGAACGGTGAGTCAATGTTAAAATATGTATCTCATTCCTGAAAAGATGAAAATGTGTCATACAATGAATGAGTGTAAATAAAAACCTTAAGACCTAATGTAAGAATATGTTGTTCTCTAAAAGAAAACGAAAATTTATGATAATATAGATAAAAAAACAAAACTTCAAACGATTGCTGTCGCTGCGTAGGCGTCTCTATAACGCACTGGGTCTCCATTTTACAGTTTTAAATCAATTTTCATACGCAAGATACTCAGTAACTACATCAAGTTTAACAGCTTTTGGTTAAACGACAAACTCAAATGGCGTCTTCTGTGCAATTGACTTACTCGGATAATGAAATAGAAAAAATGATCTTTCATTTACGTCGGTCGACACTGTTTTCCGTTGTGTGTGTGTGTGTGTTTTTTTTCTATCTAATGTACCGTACGTATCTTTTTATATGAAAGAAGGCATGTCACTTGAAAAAACTCTGTCATGCATTAAGACAATTACGGATATAATCAAAACGTTGGATTCATCTAATTAACAGTTTGTTCAATTACCGAAAAAAATGGTTTACGTTTTCTTTGAAAATGAAAATGAAAAGCAACAGTGAAAACAGGAAATCTGAGGAGTAACGAGAGGGAAAAAATACCGAATTCAGATTAACACCCGTTGTTTACAGCAGTTTTCTGTATCGACATAATTTCTTCAGTGATACTATAGCATTCAATTGGGTTGGTACAACACTCACTGACACAATAATGTAAGTTTAATTTATCTTAATTTTTTGTCACAACAAACGTACTTTACTCCTTACCATGGACAAGGATATGGCGATTAAACAAAAAAGTGAAGTCATTGGACATTTAAAAAAAAAACACCGATTTCGTTGAAATGTTGATATATCTCATATTCGCAATATCCATGAACATTTTAGGAAAATTATTCAAAATTAATATATTGTTTAATAACTACTGCGGTTCACTATTTCATATTTGATCTCTCAATTTCATAAAACAAACAAGCAAACAACTTGTCTCTTGTAGCAATCAATCAGTGTGTTAAATATCTGGAACGCTATCTTTAGTACGATATTAGGGAAATTTAAATTGTCGACATTCTATATACGAAACACGTGCGGTTTTAACATTTTCACTCCCCGGACATTAAACATGCTTAGTTTGGAATATGTAATCCTAATTTGTAAAAAGAACTATTTTAGAAGGTCTTGATAGAATTATTCAACTCAGCCAAATTCCCGAAACACTAATACCTGACTTAAGTCGACTTCTTCAACGATTCGCCAGAATCCCACGAAGTCATAACTTTTTTTTTCAACATGGTTAAAACGTCCCCCCAAAAAAATCACAAAAATTTGATTATTGAAAATTCTAAAACTACGACTAGTAATAATTACGCACGTACAATTTCTGCGGTGATAACGAGCTTTTTTATAGTTGCATTCGGATCATTTTTCTTTTCTAATTCGACTAAATTTAGCCTGATAGAAGCTTCGACAAGACATCGTTTCACGAGAAAGTGGCATATTAATTCAATCCTTAACTCATTTATAGTAAACCATAACGCTTTCTGATCATCATACCTTTCCAAAGATCAATGATGTTTTTTTCTGTTAGGTAATAACCGCTCAAATGCATTGGCGTAACGTCACAAAGGTATAAGCCGATTAACCATGCAACTGTCAAGTACAGTGTGCTTAAAGGATAAAAAAAAACCGTTCACTTTTATATTTTTTTCAACACTTACGATACGGAAACGGGTGATAACACAGGTACGAATTTACAGGTGAGATAAAAAGATAGATTTTTTTTTAGAGTTCGCAGTGTACACGCAGAGATTCATTTGACCTCTATCACGCTGACGTTAGATATTTTTCTGAAATCATCGTTAAGTGATTGTTTACTTTTATCATGATAACATGAGTAGGACTTCTTAACCGTTGCATCACAAAGTAATTGTCACGTATTTATCATGCATTATATTTGTACTAATTATTTGGAAATAAAACAAAACGGTTACAAACAAAGGCTGTCTTTTCATTTAAACGTGGTCCCTGATGTCTAAGTTTGTAATACGGCACAATTATCACCCGAACATGACCAATAAATGACCAACAATTCACAACATATTAATAACTACCCGGTATATTTACTATATTATATAACCAAGCTAAAGAGATCATGTGAATGACTCTTAGGTCCCTGTGATATTATTGTTTTCACATCGGTCTTACCTGAATTGGATGGTAGAAAGTGCGGTCGGCGTGTCAGCTGTCCCCCGGACCGGAACCTCCCCGAGATGGCAAAGTATAACACATGACTCTCTCTACTGTCTATATAGCGTCTGACTGTCGGATTCCAGTACAGATCTAATATAATATGACGTCCCCGTGGTGCTGGTTATTTGACAAACAGAACTGACAACCCTGTCAGTGGAACCGTTTCTAGAAGCTAGCGATAATTCCAGGGTCAGGGGCGTTCTCTTCAACTCGCCCGTAGTTCCTTTTCTGTGGGTATGCACATGTGTAATAGCATCTAATTACACGTGAATAATCACAGTGTCCGCTTGCGTTATCTGGCCCTGTCACCTTCCTTAGCTATTGTTATATAAAATGGTCAGTTTTTCTTCCCACATATTGACCACCGACTCTTCCCCGTGTCGCTCACAAATACACTCAATATTCCGGCAGCAGTGTCGCCCGCTACATTGATATGAAGAGTTGAATATACATATGCTGATCCGCCAGCTCCGTGTCGTGTCTCGGTAATCTACAATCTGTTGGCCATTACCTGTATATATATAGATGTATGCGACCGATCGATTTCTAGTCCCAGGTGGCTATTGCGCCAGTGCAAGTGTATAGATCATCCCGCAAGAGAAGGAGATGTTACAGTAATCCGCTCTATAGAACACACATAATATGCATATTTAACACACACAAATGTTACAACAAAAATATTATTCAATTTCTATCTAATACATTTACTGTCATTCTTGTCGATATCGCGAGACATATATTTTTCGTTGTTTTTGAGAGTATTCATTTTCCGTGGTTCGTAAAAATATTGGTGAGCCTTGGATTTTCTGGTACGCAGGTACAGCTATTTGATGGCATTTTGTCAGGTGTTGATATAAAACATATGAGGTATAAAATACTACTTAAACCAGAAAGTTAGACCCTTCTGATATTAACCCTTTCACCCCTAGGTAACTTAAGTAGATTCTACCATACACATAAGCTTGGTGAGTCCATTTCGGTCTACATGGGTGAAAGGGTTTAACCAGTTAGAGTTCGTCTGATTTTTGCCTTCAAACCTTGTACGTAATATTTTGTCACTTGCAATTCATATCATATTATGAAAAGTCATTAGCTAAATGGATTGGATGGAATCCATTCTTGTTGGCTGTCGAGTCCTGTATCATTGTCCTGGACACAACGCCAGACTGTAATTTATTTTCAACGATTTCCAATAATAGTGAGTTAGCCAAACCATCGCGCCTGTTTATCTGTAGGAAACACACGAGTATGCAATTCAAATAAATCAACTTCCATCAGCAACATTGAATCTTTGTTTACAACTGTGTGTGTTTGTCTCGACCAGACGAACGAAACATCAATACTGCAATATGGCGCAAATACATGTAGTCTTTCAACAACCGTTTCCGGTTAAAAGAACAAAACAGGAGGACACGAAAACACAATGTAAATAAACAGTAGATAAAAAGCACGCGAAGACAAATACATAAAGGATGTTAAATGGTTTCTCGTTGAATTCCATGAATATTTCACGAGAATTGCAGAACACCCTATCGGAAACCGTTTGCACTTTCAGTAAACGAGAAAAGTATGTGTCTCGTTTACGGAAAGTGCCGACGGTTCCCGATTGGCAGAACACCGATATTTTCCCCGAGGGCTAAATATCGGTATATATTACATTGCGAATGAAATATGTTTGGTGTCCATCGGGAAATCTAATACATGTTTTAACTCGTGCAGCGACGAAAATTTTACTGCAACAAAACAGTTATGTACCATATTCTAATGACGTCATACTTGACAAGAGTTAGCGCCATTTTGAATGGGTCACTTTACGTAAACTTAATGTTTTCTGCTGATATATAATTATGGCAAACTATGCATACAAAATTTGTATCATTAGATCAATATCTAAGAGTGTTGTAAGGATGTACCGAAACATCCGTTTATTCTGACGTCGCTTTATCTGCATCCAAACAGGAAATTTGCGACTTTTATGATACGGTCGAACCGTTTTGATCGTCTAATACCAAAACCCCATATTTTCACAGTGTTACAAATACCATATTTGATATTTGTCACCGTGTAAAGGATTTCAGTTTTAATAATTTTATTCAGTCTACTTCTACCATAATTCATCTGCTAAACAAAATCGGCTTTGAATGAAATGAATAGAAAATACCCTTCTGATCGGTTAATGTATACTTGATACGGGGTCTTATATGTCCTCATCGGAAATACATGACATGTACGATATTATCAAGTTGTGAAGTTCTGATAAATCATTGGCAAAATATTATAAATATATCTAAAATTGTATTTTGAAAGTTCATTTAAATATCCTGATGATATGCTATAATATCAATTTAAATTATATCATATAAAGATTTAAAAAGAGAAATCCCAAACAGCTGGGCCAATAACGGTTTAAATGCAGCTTCCTTTCCAGCAAACCAGTAGAGATCCCATTTGATAGAAACCAGAACTGGTTATATCCATCAATGTTATCTTTATAAAGATTTTATCATCATCATCATCATCATCATCGTCATCACCATCATCATCATCATCATCATCATCATCATCATCATCATCATCATCATCATCATCATCATCATCATCATCATCATCATCATCATCATCATCATCATCAACAACAACATCATCAACAACAACAACAGTAATAACATAAACAATATCAAGAGGCTCTGAAATGTCAAACAAAAAAACGTTATTTCAACTCAGAATTGAAAAAAACAGAAAAAAAGGAAGAACAAGGCCAGGAGTCCCGGAAGTGTAAGTGTCTTTTTGCTTCATTGACAACACCCGCCATGTAAATCTAGGTCAATTTCAAGTAATGTCACGTCCTCATTATGAGAAACGAGGTATTGACAACAAAACAACAAAGTAAACCAATAAGCATACTCAAAACATCGACCTTCATATTTCACAAAGAAACAATTTATGTAAGGATTGGTTGTCATATTTTTTACATAGCGTACCATGTTAAATATGTAGGTAAGCCAATGTATGTTACACACCAATGCATGTCAATAATATGACAACCAATACTTATATTTACACTTTATGTTAATCAACGTACAGTTCATGCAGAAATAAAGACATATTAATAGTCTGAACATGTTTCAACGTCAGGGTAAATCCATACAGAGAACAGCCACCAGTTGACAGTGGAGCAGTGCAATCTCCAATGTTACAGTTATGACGTCATAATCATAGCGACGTCACAATAGCCCAATGCATGTTATTTAAGGATTAACTTGAATATATTTTTCATGTTATGGAGGTATAACACAACAAAACCCGGAGTGTACTCTAAATAAACCGCGAAGCGGTTTAGGATGAGAGTACACTCCGGTTTTTTGTGTTATAGCTCCATAACATAACAAATATATTCAAGTTAATCCTTATAATTTAATCTACTATACACAATCCCTGTGGAGATCCACTTTTATTGATGGACTCTTTTCTCTTAGAAATTATTGCGCTGCAGTATCAGCCAATCAAAAGCGACGTTACAAACGACGACGTCATTTTTTACGTTATGGGCATGGCATATGCGTGATGGCATAAATTTTTAAGCCAATGAAAATGCTTGTTACAAGCAAGATTAAATTATACGGAAATAACATACATTGGGTCCAGTAGAAACATCTCTGTGCAGTGGAAATGTAAATATTTACCAATGTGGTTATGATGATGACCATAAAACTTGTATAAAGTCTGTATCAAAGTGTATCCCTGGAAACCCTATGTTGTATTCTTGTCGGTCAACAGTCGATATCTTTCACGGACATGATTTTATAAAGAACAAGCTCTGGAATAGCGAATCAACTGTGATATGCTAACACAGTAAATTGGCGAACAAGAGTATTACTATCAAGAAAGGGAAAGCTATTCAAATGAAAATCGAAGCAGTCACTCTTAGCGGACTGCTTAGCAGGAAGCCGTCCCAAATGGTCATATTTTGAGTATTCTTCGAGGAAAGCAGATGAAGTAGACGGAATAATCGGATAATAACATATAGATAGGGTCTGGTAATTACAAAGGGACAGCAGATGAGTTTTTTTCCCTGTTCCCAGCTTACTGTACTTACTGCACGGGTCGAAAGGGGCGGCTATTCTACGGGTCGAGAGGGGCGGCTATTCTACAAATACTTACTGCATGGGTCGAGAGGGGCGGCTATTCTACAAATACTTACTGCACGGGTCGAGAGGGGCGGCTATTCTACAAATACTTACTGCATGGGTCGAGAGGGGCGGCTATTCTACAAATACTTTCTGCACGGGTCGAGAGGGGCGGCTGTTCTGCAAATACTTATCACGGGTCGAGAGGGGCGGCTATTCTACAAATACTTACTGTACGGGTCGAGAGGGGCGGCTATTCTACGGGTCGAAAGGGGCGGCTATTCTACGGGTCGAGAGGGGCGGCTTTTCTACAAATACTTTGCACGGGTCGAGAGGGGCGGCTATCCTACAAATACTTACTGCATGGGTCGAGGGGGGCGGCTATTCTACAAATACTTTCTGCACGGGTCGAGAGGGGCGTCTATTCTACAAATACTTATCACGGGTCGAGAGGGATGGCTATTCTACAAATACTTACTACATGGGTCGAGAGGGGCGGCTATTCCACAAATTCTTATCACGGGTCGAGAGGGGGGGCTATTCTACAAATACTTACTGCACGGGTCGAGAGGGGCGGCTATTCTACAAATACTTATCACGGGTCGAGAGGGGCGGCTATTCTGCAAATACTTACTGCACGGGTCGAGAGGGGCGGATATTCTACAAATACTTACTGCACGGGTCGAGAGGGGCGGCTATTCTAAAAATACTTAGGTGAACCTTAAATATACGTATGATTGGTAATATTTCATTCTTATGACGTCAACGGTAACTAGTTAGATATTTCACAAACCCAGCATCGAGGAAGCGAATGATATCGATTGAAAGGGCAGAAATAGAAATTCGGTTTAGATCTCCTGATATAGATTGGCTGATCTATTTCGTCAATATCTTCGCATTATCATGTAACTGTTTGTTAATACTGATGTCCCAGCGTATATATACACACACTCACACACACCTGTCTACGGACGTATTAGAAATTAATTTGGCGGAACAAAATGGGAGTTGATCCACCAGTGCTGTCGCGTTGCCATGGTGACTTGGCATACACATGCCCTGTTGGGACTAAGGAGCACGAACATGTATGGTCATCTTTACTTGTGTTTGCCTCCCGTTGGCAATATTTTACGATCTTAAATGTATATTATAATTTATTGTCATTTTTCTCAGTACCAAAGAAGAATAAAAAATGCCTGTAATACTACTAATAGAGAAGAAAAAATAAAGATAAGTGTAAGAAAAATAATATTACTCTAATTTGATAACTTTCAAAGGTAACTGCATTTAACGTAGCATTAACGAAATTCAAACTATTCATTCAATTAGAGAAAAGATAGGATTGTTTATGTTTACATCGATAGTAC